GGATGGTTGGAGTATTGCAGGATCCCCTGCACATTAGCGTATACGGTGGAATTCCAGAGAATGCTTTCGGAAAAGTCGGTGTGGGAGTATCGGGGTTATGATTTGGCCCTGTCGCGCTCAACTATGAATATGCTGAGATCAATATCCGTGATCATTATCATATCTATTGCAGCCATCGCGTGCAAAGCACCAGTGGCCAGACCAAAAGATTGCTCTATCCCGTCTACTAAAGTGATTTGAAACACATTAGGAAATGAAACCAGTTCAGTCAGGAACAAAATAGATGGGGTAGAAAATCTCAATTTTGAACATGTTTCAGTATGTAGCTTCCTTATCTTATCTGACAAATCCGCATTCAAACCCAAGTTTTAAGAATTTTTAAAGTTTATGATGACTATTTTCAATATGAAGCTGCGAAGTCATCAGAGTGCATATGATGCATTGTTGAATACGACAGTGAGGCGGAGGTCAATACTTTAGGAGAGGGGGCGGTCGAATGCTCCATTTGGCTCAGATGCAGAGTCCTTCTCGGTCGATCAGCAGTTTGCAATTATCGATGGGTTCAAAGTCTGGGTTGAAGCTGTCGGCAATGTCGAACGAATAACCAGCAGATGCACCTGAAAAATGTGTGAACCGCTAGAATCATGATTATGCACAGAAGAGTCGAGCGATCAAGGCACTTGTTACGTGTGCCGGAAGATCACAATTTACTCTGTTTCGGTGAGACAGAGAATCTTGAGGTAGTGCTTGAGAGGCTAAGCAATGAATCCATCGAGAGGAATAGAGGATCTCATGGTGAACTTGACGCGATCACTGGGATATCCGTACTGAGGCTTTAGTGAAGGTATTCGAGTACCATGGGACACGTCAGTAATCGACGTGACACTGAGTCATTAATAACACCGCGGATTGTGGGTGTCAACTTCACCCACAATTCCATAATGGTGATGTGTAAGGTATGCGAATTTCGATGGATGAAACACCGTTCGTGCATTCCATGGGTAGCAGAATGATGGTTTTGCCGAATTTTTAATTCCATATAGACGGATTTTCGTTTTAGGTCATAACGGAGTGCACTGTTCGGGTTGGCCACATCTCAGACCCAAACTTTCAACGTACGCATAACCGAAAGGTTTTGCATTACACAAAGGAAAGGGGAGACCGACAGGTAGGAGAAGTGTGCTTCGGTCGGTGCTGCGCTCTAGGTGGATGTGCCACAACTTACGGAACATTTGCTACTGCTGGTGTAGTGCAGATAACATATACGCCATGGGCACGCATGCAGATGATCTACTTCATTAAATAAGTTATAAAAATTGGTGGTTGCATGAGGGTTGTGATAGGAGACGGCCACATGCTGTCGTCAGTGAGGATGGATATTAAAAGAAATGTGTGGGCAAGATGACTTGTGAATTTAGCGAGCAGGTACGCGGATCATCGGCGGTAGCGGTAACCTTAAGATGATGATGTGACGACTGGAATCAAAGGGCATGCGTATCATCAAAGCTCGTAGGCTGAGAAGGAAAAACTAATATGCAATTCGACAGGGGGGAATAAATGCATCCTTCCGCATCTGGAGCGCCGAAGATTATTTTGCTAAGGGACCAGTCACTGTAACATAGGGGATAGAAATGTAATCAGTGCATAACTGTGTTAAGAGCTTCGTGAGAAACATTAGGAGAGCCGGCCAGTTGGGGGATTAAGGGTGATTTGCTTATCTCAATTAAGACAACAACTGACATCTTCGAACGCAATTTTCCAAACATGAAGACATTCGAACGCAGTCAGAGGCATGGCTTTCTTAGTACCGCGTAAGCTAGGATTCAAACGGTTAAGTAAGCGTTTATACGTAACCGAAAAGTGTGCTAGGAAATTACTGAGAATACCTGTGGCTCGGGGTGCGTGGATGAGACGGTTGTTACTGAGTGATAGGACTGTGATAAAGCTAGTGGAGTTGTCACCATTCTCTGCCTGATCTTGTGGTAGAGGAAAGTGAAGCTCGGAAAAAAGGGATGGAGCATAGGAGCAGGAGGCTGGAGACAGACAAGCAAATGAAAGTACACATAAACAAATCAATTTAGTATAGTGTGCCGCACTATACCGTATCTAACTACCAGTTGTGATGGCCCGTCACCCATGACTCAGTGGATTCGGCGTCTGACGCAGAGGAGGCATTCATGGGCTCGAATCCATCGGGATCTGGCGCATGACTGCCACAGACTATTCTCAATGCATTCCTGCATATGTGGTGCCTGTCTGGCTGCGGTGAATCTTCACAAAAGAAATATAAATCACTCTCTACTCTTAAATAAGTAGCATTAGCAGCAGCTTAAATGCTACCTCGATTGGCGGTGGGAGAGGGCCAGCATGTTCATAACATGCATAACAGTGGAGGATGAGCCGCACAGAGTTAGAAATCTGTCAAGGCGGTCAGTCCCCATCAGTTGCGGCTCAGTGACATAAATCGCTGACTTGTATGAGTAAGGTCATGGGTCCGGATTTGGCAGGACTCGGCGGATGCGCGCTACTGACGAGTCACGATGGGAAGAAACGGCCGTCTTGGGTGTATGGTGGCTATCCGGTTGAGCCTAGCTGCGACGAACCTACTCAAAAATATCAAAATGGTTTGAGATTAAAAACTAGCGAGAGAACATGCAACAGGTCACATGGTAGACATGAAGGGCTGCATCAACAGAAAATGGACATATCGTGCACGTAGACGAGAACCCGAACTGTCGCGCCTAACCAGCAACATACAAATAAGAAACCAACACAACCAAAGTATTGGAATTCAGTGGGAGGAAGGCTGCTCAGAAATTAAATCGGTCATTCAAGACCAAACAATGACGATGCGAAATGCATGCATCTACTAGCCTTCGTCTTCTTTCCGTGCTTTTCAAATTGTTCAAGGGGACTAATTGTTTTAAACCATTCTTCAACCATTTTAAGCCAGAAACGATCAGCTTCAACTGTGTGATGCAGGGTGGTAAGGACTCAAAAGGGGCACGTGTGATTTGTTTGCTACACACCAGGTTCATTGGAAGTTTGAGCTCACGGTGGACGATTGAGGAAAGTAGGGCAGTATAAGTTGGCAAGTAAGGAACAGGTGGCACAACGAATCTGCCTTGATCGTCGAGCAGCCCCCACCCCAGGAAAACGTGCGGCCCAAATATGATAGAATGATACTGACATTTCAGGTCAACAAGTCACTTTCCTAAAATCAAATATAGAGGAACAGCAGAATCATACAATTATCCACAAAAACTTGGATAAGAAGATCACGTTGAGGGTGAGATAACAGGGGGGGGGGGAACTTGGCTGTCAAACGATGTGAAAAGTCGACACATCGTTTATTCTCTTTAACTGACAGCCGTCCGACCAAATGGGCTTGCTGACCGAATGTGCAAGCAGTTGTATAAAAAGATTGTTACAGGTTCAAAGTGATGCATTGTCTGCGAAGAGTGGCCAAACATAGGTGGTTGATACAGTTGACAAAAATGAGTATGCGGAAAATTCGTCAATCGATAAGGCGAATGAAGTGGATCTGCGGTGTGGTATTACAGACTAAGCAAAGCGTAGCCCCTGACAAGCGGCGACTCGTACCCAGACGAATGGTAGCCGTTATCCTTCACCGTACCTGACATATGCGTAAAAGCATCCACAGAGTTCTGACTGCTAGAATACTTAAATACTAAAAATACTAAAATACCATGGTACTGGTTAATATGCTATTCACCAGGTTCACTCGTTAGGCTTCAGCCAAATCACAGCAATTGAACCAGCATAAGTGCATGCATCCCACACTTCCTTTGGAGGTGTTAAACGCAAATATGTTCACATGTGTCCAGTTCCAAGGTCAATGTATGCCACGATCAATAGTGTTCCAAGTTAAGTGTCAATGTCGGGAGTACAGCGACGGGACTATCGTTGGCAGTAGATGAATTTGGAGCTGAGAGCACACGGTTGTCTTATCGCCCCGCGCCGAGCCTAGAACTTATGTGACGGAGGTTTCACTCGATGCAAATGATATGTACGTGTATACTGGTCTATGATGGGAGTATCCGATGACGAGTTAGATACTGATCGGACGACAAACCACACAACCAGTCGGATGAGAATCTGACAGATTCGGTCATTGAGCGCGGCATGCATAGTCATCTGTTTACGTGGCGGCAACAATTGGTTGGCTTTCGGGTGCGCTATGGTGAGATTCCGCGTAGTTTGTTTAACTGGATGAAGAGAAAAACCCCAATGACCCAGACACCGTTATTAATGGGAGCGAAAGGACAATACAGATATCGCAGTTATCTGTGTGTCAAGCATGTAGTCATTTTCGCTTAAATATTCTGCTAAACAAACGCTTCCCCTGAAAAGATCGACTTTTGAGTTACCACCAAGAAACAAGAGAATGCTAATAGTTGTTTTGGGAAACGAGGTGTAGTCTCTTGGCAGTGTTAAGAGATAAGCTCCATAACAGACGCATTATATGGCCCAGCCATCACTGTGCGTACGTCACACACATGCATCCACTTCCAATTTAAGCCAGTGATGCGACTTTCATCTAATATCTTCGGGCTAATCCCGTCTGGTTTATTCAGGATATAAGATGTGTGAATGGAGATGTGAGTGGCGCAACGTAATATACCCGCTGTTCCATTGCGAACGCAGACGTCTGTGGCTGTTCGCAATCGTGTTAACAAGCAAGACTGGAAAAAATAGGCTATCAACCGTTGTGACTGCAAACAACAATTCGATACGACTGTAAAACGGTCGAACAATTGCCCGGAACAGTTATAAAATAATTACCTGCGAAAAATCGAAAACCTAAAGGCGCGTCGAATGAGCTGCGTGTGACGAGTATGATCATCGCTTGGCTGCTGCCCTCTGAAGCTGAACATGATGGAAGGTGATCGCTCGGATTTAAAATAACATGATGGACACGCGGCACAGGCGAATTCAGTAGCTAACACAACCGAACAAATAATGGAGCGTGGACCCACCGAATTTTCACAAAAGTTCGAAGCCTCGCCACCATTATGCACTCGAGTGGGTGATGCGTGAGCACTGTGGGACCGAACGAATGAAGAGCTGGAATTGTTAAAGTCTTCCTTGACTATGCAAGCGTCACTGCTGCGCTCGTGGCTATGATCACTTCGCCGACGCTGGGTGATGGTGGACGATAGAGGGGGACCAACATCGGGTGGTTTGAGGTGCGAATTGGGTACTGGCGCGTGGGGCAGGTCACTGTTGGTAGGGCTGAAAGACACCACGGAAGAAAGTGTGAACAAAGTGTCTGGGACCAGGCGAAAAGTTTGAGATGCAGAAAATATGCGAGGGACATGCTGACCAAGCATTGCATCGAGTAGAACACATGGACGACAAAAGAGCTATTGCGAAATATAACAGAGCGGAATGGACGTAGAATTTGACATCTGGTCAAGATGAAAGACGGTCCAAAGCGATAGCAGAGGATCGGCTCTATGCAAACCTGATTACAACAAAAGCGCAAGACCCAAAAAGGTGTTAGCAATCAACCGCCGACAAGCTGAATACGGAGTACTATATTATGAGAGCGAGTAGAACTCAAATCTGCACAACTCCATCGCGATGAAATCAAGAAATGTTAGAAAAAGTGTCTGTCACCCGTGATAATCTGATCGTTCTTCAGGTTCTTATGTAGCAGTTTAGAATGTCTGACTTACAGTTTCATTGGGCTCACAAATGCAAGATGTTATTGCTAGTGTGCAATCGTTCTCTGAATCGAATGGTGGTGAAATGTAAATCCAACAATATTTTGAACTGCTGCACAGATCTGGCCTCTACGACTTGTTCTAGCAAACTGTTCTAAACATTTACTACTCTCCGTTCAAAGCACAACGGTAATCATTTTATATGCAGCAAGGCAAGTTTGTATAGGTGCCCGCGTGTGCTACATGGCGTTCGCCAGCGAAGTAGCGGCCTCAACATGGAAAAGTCCCCGAGAGGTAATATGGAGCAGACCGCACCTGTCTTCGTACAGTAATCCTCATAAACTTGGAATGAGACTGAAAGCGACGTGTTGGAACTGCTCGATCTTTTGTGCCTCGCCTCGGGTGATTGGACAGTAGGAAAGTGGATCGTTCACCAGTACTGGTCTTATGATGGAAGAAATGTGGCGACCTCTTCAGATCAAGTACAGAAACTGCGTTTGATCGCCCAAAGTATGCACAGTCCGTTCGCGTTGTTAACGGACTTCAAATTGCAGCCCCAGAGTACACCTAGGTCCTACACGGAAAGTGTGGGATGTAGCGCTTGGGCGTCAATGGTGTAAATTTGACCATCTCCACATTTCCCCAGGCTCATGAATACAAACTTGTTTGGGTTAACCGGGAGGCGGACATCCGCAGACCACCTGGAAACCCTGTTGTGGTCTTGCTGAAGTAGCACGCAGTCGGCTGAGATGCTTTTCACTCTCCAAATCTTCAGGTCATCTGCAAACAGGGTATACGGCGATCGAAACAAGCCGAGGCAGATCGTTGGTGTGGATTAGGAAAAGAGTGGGCCCCAGTACCGTGCCACGGGGTACTCCGCTGGTAGAGGGATACCAGTCAGTTAGATGGCCGTCGATCTGTCCAATCCATTTTGGTCCAACGAGAAAGTCCTGGACCCACTGGAGCAGTAAGCCACCAAAACCGCATACCTTCAGCTTGTGGAGGAGGCCCAGGGTTTACCTAGTCAAACGCTTTCCTGAAATCGAGGTAGATTACATTGATAGACTTCCCCTGGTTCACCGCCTTCAACCATTCGCGCCATGGCACCAGAAGGTTGGTAATGCATGAGCGACCAAGCATAAAACCGTGTCGTGCGGGCGTCAGTAGATCTCTCGATGGGAACAGTTGGAGTAGACTCACCCTCACGATCTTCTTGGCAATCTTGATCAAAATAGGTGTGAGACAAATAGGCCTCTAGTGGTCTACTTTGCTGGGGTCTGTGCCTTTTGGAATCGGCTTAACCAGTGAGCATTTCCAATCACTTGGTAATGAACTATCGGATAGTGACCTGTTGAAAAAATCAAGCACAGGTGAGATGATGGCAGATATGGACTTGTGAATTAGTTGGTGGTCCGTCAGGGCCAGAAAAATATGAGGAGACTGTCACACAACCGGGTACATTCTCATGCTGACGGACATTGTGGAATATCGAGATGTGGCGTCGAGCGTTGCTCGCGAACTCATACAGCCGGGTCGTTAGCATCCATATGCAGTGTGTACGCCTACCTAGCGGAAACCAGTTGGTACAAACGGGTAGAATGTTGATAGCGACTTAAGTAAAATGGATAAGCGTTTTTCAGATGACGGTAGCCAACGAGTCCACACAATCTGTAGCTTCGACACGGGCCACATACGTCAGATTAAGGGAAACACAAGCTTTCGATGAGACCATATACTTCCACTCAACATGTACGCATAAAGCAGAACCATAATGGCGTTATGCGAACGGTTCATAGTAATCTCCCTGGTTTGGTACTCCTGGAAAACAGAACAACAAGTGTCCATCGAGGAAACTGCACTAGAGGTGACCGGTTTATGCTGTTGACGGTGGCTAGAGTAGCCCAGATTAAAACCCGCGTAAGGATACGATGAATATCTCGTCTGGTAAGGTCGACATTCGCACTGCGTAGATGATCAAAAAAGCTAGTGCACACACAATGAGACTTAGGTCGGTCTCGATTATCCAGGATCCGATTAATTCATGGCAAAAAGCCACGAGACGAATACTCGTTTTTAGTGCTGCATCCAATGGGAAGATGAGTTGTCGAATTAGCATCGTTCGCAGGCAATGGTGAATCATAACGATTGCATCGTCCCCTCACCCTACGAAGTATGCCGAATGAATGCAGAGTTGTAATGGTGGCAAGTCCGCGCACACGGCTGTTGAAGTCTAATGCTGATGGATGGGGAAGTTTACAGATAAAACCTGTCGGTGTGAGAAATAGACACACTGGTGACGCATTTTAGGGGCTTTCGAGATGCTAGGAGTATCAATAACCCACATGATGTCTAATAGGGGAAAGGCGTTCGAGAGTTGGGCGGGAGGGGCAGCTAGTAAGCTAGAAATCCCTACCACACACTCATAAAGCAGTGGCGCAAAAAGACAAGACTGGCAGGGATGCAAACGGTAAACAACATTGTATCGCGAGCAGTCGACCACCCATACAACAGCAGACTGCTCGCCTGAGTATGTTTGCTGCACGCACTCCACAGGTGTTGACCCAGCACTGGGGAGCATTCACACCCGCGTGCCGATAAGATGGGGCAAAATGTGGTGAGTTAGACAGCAGTGGCCCACCCGGAAGTGCGGAGTTGGTGATTTGAACACAGCGCTTCCACGGTGGGGGAGTTGAATGCAATGATGGTCAATGGAAAGGGCATAGAGGAGCATCTGGGACTGGCACGATGCATGTGAGAATGAGCAAACGTACATACATGTCCAACGTGTGCATGCAACACATCAATTATCAAACTCTGTGGCATCGCAGAACAGCATGCAGTGCGAGAGCTGCGTGTTATAAGGCATGCGCTTGCCTGTTTGCATGGTGAGACATACGTGTGCGCACGCAAGAGACGGACGAAAGGTCGTCCATGGTCGATGATTCTTTGGTTCGCGTCTTTGGCAGATGAGCAAATGTGTTGCAATCTGCCGGTGTATGATATGAAAACGACGTAGAAGAAAGTCGACTCAAGTGAAGGGATGTTTTGTAAGGGACCGTGACGTAGCTACCCTACATGCTTACTGACCAAGATATCTGTCCGACCTGGAGCGTAAATCTCCACATTACCCAAGGGAGCTATGGGAAGCAGAGAGCGGACTAATTCTGGGCAGTTGAAGTATGGAATGCAATGAAGAGAAAAAGATGTACCCAAGCCTTGAGTTCAACAGAAAAAAGAAACAGGTTCAGAAGAGAGGAAATTGCTCCAAAGGGAAGGGAAACGTTTGCCTACCAGCAGCAAAAGCTATGGAACATGTGCAGGATAATAGATCACGGGATTCAAACGAAAGTAGTCAAGTGACGATTGGCTCGAATTGTCTGTTCTCTTGTGATATGATTTGCAAACAGCAAGAGGCCCAAAGGAAATGTGGCCTCAACCGATAGTAGTAAGATCTATGAGGAAATCTCAGGTCGAGTGGTGCATCTTAAGGTGGAAAAGTGATGGTATGCATACACTGTTAAACTTGAAATGAACCCCAAGGAGAGAAAGTCAAGTTCAAAGTAATGGTGGTGAAACGCACATAACACAAGCCCCCCAGTGTTATAGTTGGAAAAGCACAAACTGCGCCCTGTCGATAAAGCATGCTGTGAGGAAAACAACACAGTGGAGGACACCATTGACACATCAACTGTGAGATAGAGGACTGAGCTGTGCCTGTAACCACCTACGTTATGCCGAAGTGAAGCAAATTGTGGTTCAGCCACAAGATATTCGTGGAATACAGAGAGTTAAGGGATACCGGTCTTCCTAACCAGCAAAAGTCACCCAACGATCAGAAGGTCGCGTACATCATGGTGAGATCTTGTCTAAGCGCTGTGTTGTAGCCCCCCATCAAAGATGTTCTCATTCATCGGGGGTTTTCCGTGGTTCAACAAAGCACAACATCCAACACTTTAGAAGACCATGTAAACAGCAACGCATTTTATCAATCGGCCGGAGGAGTGATTGCCACAAATGCATCCAGGGAATAGAAATGAATCATCTACGAAGCAGGGAGTAGAGGCTTTGACATGATAGTTGTTGTCACCTAGGGGATAGTTAAGAGGTAAGCAGGTAGGCAAAGCTAGTATGTGTGGATGAGTCGGCCAGTTGCGCAATGGGATCCACAGTGGCGTGTATCGGGGGTAACCGTCAAGAGGGGCGAACAGAGCAACAAAGAATCGTAAATTGGATATAGAGCGCATGAGAACTACACCGAGTCAAAAAGTATCCGTTTTCCTGCAGTTCGGTACCATGGTCAATGTGGCCCAAACAAAATGAAGCGATAATACATCTGAATAACCACCAGACGGCCAGGTGGATAGTTGAAAGCTGTTTACTCAGTTTGTAATTAGGCAGTAACACTTATTCTCTAAAAAGGGGGTTAAAATTGTTAGCCCATAGTAGATTTGACGGAGTGCTTAGTTCTCATATGGCAGAATTCACGTTCTGATGTCAAGTAGTCTATCCCTTCGCGGAAGAAGTGGTTGATCTCATGAGGAACGGTTTCCCGCAAGAAGATAGTTG